ATTTCGTAATACTGTTCACTGTATGTGTCAAACATTTTAAATACTTTGCATGGAGTTTGTGTGATGTGCAGTGGATAAATGACCTTTAGATGTTGCTGTGCAGTCTAAATGTATTTGACCTGTATGTTGAATACACGTGTGTATACTGGTTTGTTTGCTCTATGTGTGTTCAATGTCTGCTTCTGCTTCATGTATGCTGTGTTTTGAGGAAGATGCTTTAGAACAAATTCTCATATACATGTGCAGAAAATTTTTATCCCTCCATACAAGGCACCTGCTTCCTCAGCCAGAGTATCTTGCTGAGCTCTGAGGGTTGCTTCCTAACTCTGCTTTCCTGTTTATTTTCTGTTTTGCTTCCTCACTCTCCTCTTCTGAACAATCCCTGACTTACTCCTGATACCACACCAAGTGCTCTGAGAACCACTGTTTCCAGTGGGTAAAGAATGACCCCACTTTTGTGCCTTTTTACTACAATCCCAAGAATACATATCCCTCCTCCCTCCCACCTATGCCCCTCTTTCACTAGTGCCTGCTGAAGCCTGGTTTTCCTGCTGTGCAGAAGCATTTCTCTTACCTGCACATGAAAGACTACGAAGATTCTGTAAATTGATTGTTAGGTGGTTACCTTGAGTCCTAGTTCTTTGAGGTAGTGCATATTATTTTGTCCTTGCTGCCCACCAGGGTTTCACTGATGCAGTTGTGGACAGACCAGGGAGAAAGTACAGGCTCTTGCTGGTACAACTCATCGTTTCGATGCATCGCTGGTTATGACCCAGAAATCAGCACTGGGGGAAACTTCCACTATATCGTACTAGAAGAGAGGAGACGTGTTTTGAGTTATCATCCTTGGTCTGTTTAGTCACTTTTAATCCAATCATTTACTTCCTCGTTTTGTGGCAGCGCCTCTGGGCGAAACTAAGCTGTAACCCGTTCCGGCAGGCAGAAGACCCGCCTGGTCTTTTGCTGCCACCTTGTGACATCAGTTCACTGAAACACTTGGGATCTATCCTAGCAAAGCCCATCTTTCCACTCAGGACTGCTTTTAAGTCCCATATTAGCAACTAAAACTGTTAACATAAATCACCATGTAAATTATATATATATTTAGAGCTTCAGAGGTGCCTTTGAGCTGGATGGATGCTAGCTGGAGTTCCTCCAGTGAGCTTGTTTGGCAAATTCTGCAGTGAAGTGAACTGCCTGAGTTTTTGCTTGTGTGGGCTTAAGAAATAAAACATTCATACCCTTTGAAGGGATTGGTGTAGGATTTATTGCTCTGGTACAGCCTGCATGCTAAATGCACTGAGGAGAACCATTTAAAGAGATGGCTGTCACTGCCTTATTTCAAAGGCATGAATGCCACAGCAGTCACTGTTAAAGTAAATTGAAAATAGAGAACCCTTACTGAGACTGGGGAATCTCCAGGAATCTAGCCACGCTGATTATTAGTCATTTCAATACCTTGGAGCTGCTTACATATATTTTATTTTGAGTGAAAGTGTAGAGCCTTGGATGAGAAGTGAAGCAATGTAATATAGAAGAGACTTGAGGAAGTCTGATGAAAATATTTCTTGACCCAGAAGACAAATTGACACACACACCCATCCACCCATCATGAAATATTTTAAAACTTTATTCGCTCTTTGTTTTCAAAGTATTGAGAGATTTGACAGAAGTCATATGAGACCTTCATGATTTCACTTCCCTGGAAACATCACAATATTTTCCTGTGCACAGAGTAGAAAATAAGGACGAAATGTAAGATATCAGTTTGTATAATAACAGCTGGAGGATATTGACTCAGCAGTGACCCTGCCTGAACACAAGCAGAGTTTAGTCTGATTGGTTTCTTGGAGTTCAAATTAAATTGTTAGTGTCCTCCAAAAACATACTTGAGAGAGGGGATGTGGCTGACATCCAAACCTGGCTTAGTCTGATGTCTCAATTCAGTAAAACTTTATTAAATTTGCTGTATTTCTCAAGAGGTACATAGCTTTGATGTAGATTTGGTGTACATCAACCCCTTCCATAAGATAAACTTCTTCCCTTTTCTACTTTCTATGTTGGTCATTTATTCTCTTGTTACAAATGAGGCACTGAAGAAATGTGTAGGATGCAAACATTCATGCAGAAAATACATCCACCTTTATGAATCTGTATCATAATAGGTTGCTATCTATGAAACATTTGTGTGTGTCTGTGATGATTTCTGTTGGAATGTATCTCTTTCAGACTTTTTGACATTTAAAATGACATTCTAGCCTGGCCTTTTGCACAGGCTGCTTCTTTATTAACCTGAAACTTAAAGCTCTTCTCTCTTTCTAGATAGAGGAGAGAACAGAATTTTTGAACAAATCTGCTCAGAAGAGGTAAAGCAATGAAACAGTAAGTTCAGTTCAAATAGCAGAGTTTAGTTGGAGGGCATAATAATGTCTTTCTCTCCTTTTTTTTTTTTTTCCTACTTCCTACAGTGGTATGAAGCCCACCCAGACGACAGCAGTTGTCTCAAAGATTGACAGTAGACTTGAGCAATACACGAGTGCAATTGAGGTAAGCTAACTCCAGGTCACAATGGATGTAGTTAGTAATGGCTTTGAGGGCTTGAATCAGCCTATGTTTTACTGTTTAAGAATTGCAGGGATTTTTTGGTCACAAAAGCTTCTTTACAGAATCACAGAATATTCTGAGTCGGAAGGGACCCACAAGGATCATCAAGTCCAGTTCTTAAGTGAATTACCCATAGAAGGATCAAACCCATGACCTTGGCATTATTAGCACCGGGCTTTAACCCACTGTGACTTCAAGAACAAAATGCTTCAGGCACATCTATAACCAACATTTGGATATATAGCTAAACAAAACCTCTTCCCTTTCATGCTTCTACTTACTCTGTTTTGTAAGCTTGGAGCAGCTGTTGAAGGACTCAGAATCTTGAGTGACAATTGCATCCTCTTCTTGCCTGATGAGAGAATTATGAGCACAGAGCTGATAGCCATCCTGAGCAAAGCTGACTTAGCAGCTTATTTAGAAGAACAGGGAACTGGGTCTGTGCTGCTCACTACCACTTCAGAGTGACATTCCTTGGCAAAGACATAGACCAGGGTGAACAAGGGAGTTAAGAAGTGACAAAGGAAAAACAAAAGCACATTAAAATGCAGAATTTGACCCCAGGTGATTTTGACAACTAGTGGTTAATAATGTGCCTAGGAACCAGAATGGAGGGCTTTTTCTTTTCATAGTTCAAGGAAGAATAGGAATTTGATTTTTTTGTTGTTGTTGTTCTGAGGTTTCTTAGCTGTTTTTATAATTCAGTGAGTACAGGCAATGTGAAAGCTACTAGTTAATATAGCAGGCTGACTGGGTTGTTAAGTGTCATGGGAATGGAATAGTATACAAAAGGATATGATATTGATAGCTGTGACAAAGGTATAGCACATCTTCCTTCCCTGCTGGATATTTTTTTCCTCCTCTCATCCGCATATAGAGTCTAAGCATGATATTCCACTAAGGTTTTAATTGGTTGGGCTTTATTAGCATTTAATGTAAAGGAAACTTGAGTAATTCAAGATCAATTAATAGGCTTTTTTTCCCGTGACTTCTGCCCATTCAACCTTTCTGCTAGAAAGCCTATCAGCTGGAGAGTTTTATACTCTGTGTCAGTTCCCAATGAAAAAAAGCACACAGATGAAAGGGTGAAGGCTCGGGCTTGCCTCCAGCACTTAGGTCAAGTTGAAGGTAGCTCAAACTCCTCCATTAGGGATGAATGCCAGCATGGCACCCAGTAGTCCCCATATCATCAAAACAAGGGCATAGAACTTCTGTCATCCTGCTTCACTCTGTGCCTTTTCTGAATTATATTAGGTCCTCCAGTATTTTCAGTAGGGCTCTGCTCCATTTCGATATTGAAAAGCACAGCTCTACAGCCAGAGGAAGGCAAGGTGTACAGTTCCCATCTGACTTGAAATATTTCCTTTGCTGAGTTTTTAATGTTTCCAAAATCTGCCAAATCTGACTTGCTTTGCAACTAGAGGCAAAGCCTCAGCTCGTACAGGTTCTTGTTCTCATCAAACCTATGATATATAAAATGTACAAGAATTTTGAAAAGAAGAAAGAGGAAGAATTTGGTCCAGTGTTTTTAGTGAACACGCAAAAGGCACATTTCCAAAAAGAAAACAAAACAAAACCCAAACCAAAAAATCCCCACCCCAGTTCTCCACTCTTTAAAAGAAACCCTATTCCAAATATACTGCAATTGCTGAAATTTACCCCTAAAATCCTGTGTTGTGAGGTTAAGTTGTCTGGGACAGATGGAGCACACTCTGACACTGAATGACAGAGCAGCCTTTTTTCCCTGTCTCTGAATAAGGATTTCCTTAGCTGTATCCCTAAAAGAGCCAGGCTTGCAGGATTTAGGTGCTGAGGTTTGAAAGAGGACAAATAAAAGCCTTGGAGCAGTTCTGTGCAGAGCTATGGTTTGCCATGAATTTTAGAAATGAATGATTGCAATTCTCTCAGTTAGTTGTGCCAAGGGTGCAACTGTGAATCAAAAAGGGAAGAGAGTCTCAGTGGCACTTTTGGAGCTGAGTGCTCCTTTTCATCTTTGCATGATCAGTGCTAGAACCACTTGCAGCTGCTGCATTCTCCAGCACTGCCCCAAAGTCAAACTACCCTGAATCTCCAGCTCTTAATGCCAAACACCAACCGGCCTCAATTCTTCTCCAGGGCACAAAGGCTTCAAGACCAGCTAAGCCAGCAGCTTCTGACCTTCATGTTCCAGCTGAGGGTGTCCGTAATATCAAGAGTATGTGGGAGAAAGGGAATTTTTCATCACCCTCTGGGACAGGAACACCAAATAAGGTTTGTGTTTCATTTAACATCATGATTCTAAAGAATTATGCTCTGGGCCTGACCTTGCCATTCATGTTGCTGTGAGTAAGCATGTCTGCTCCTGTTGATATCACTGGTGAAAAATATCCCAAAGGATCCTGAGGACCTCAGAAATCCACCAAATTTGTGGCTGCAATACTGAGCATCATGTAAGAATTTAGTAACCTACTGAGCTGAGTTATGAGACATTCCAGAGCCACATCAGATATCTTAGGCAGATATATCTGGGTAGTTCAAGCAGAGTACAGACAAATTCTTTGGGTTGGGAAAAGTTCTTTCGGGGGTCAGAGAAGGATTAAATGGGCAAGATAGTGATGATGTTTTACAGATAATGCATAGAAGTATTTGTGAGACCTTTATCTTTTCTATGAAAAATCTTAAGGCAAAATTTTCTTTCTATAAATTGATGTGAGCTGATGAGCATTCCTCCTAGCCAAAAATCTGAGCCATGGATTGAAGGAGATTATTACAGTTAATAATTAAATTTTAGTAATTTGTTCTAAACTTTTAAAGATTGATTTTAATGTTTTTAATTTTAGGCCACTTAGCTCCTCTATTGTGTGCTTTTCTGGAAAAATATTAGTGCAACAAAACAAAAAATGTGGACTTAGAATGGTGTCTCTTTTTCTATTAAGCTAAAGATTCTTTTTCCTCGGAGTTCAGGCTCATCACAGAAAGAGCATGTTTATGTCTAACATTTATTCCTGGGTTAGCAGGAGTGGAAATGATTTTCTCAGTCCATGTTTATCATTATTGAAAAGTAGAGGGCAGCAGTCCTGTTGTAGTTCATAGGGACAATACCTTCAGAGAACACAGGATGACTCCAGTCACAGGCTCAGTGAGGGGCTCTATATTAAACTCAGGCTTGGCTCTGCTTTTCAGTCTACACCAGGAAAACAGAGCAAAAGCCATTCTTAAAGTTTTCTGATTAGATTTTATTATTTGGCAGGAAACTGCTGGACTGAAGGTGGGTGTCTCCAGTCGAATAAACGAGTGGTTAACCAAGACCCCAGAGAGCAACAAATCACCTGCTCCAAAACCTTCCGTAAGTAAACTTGCAACAACTACTTCTTCAGTAGGTGGGTTCTTTCCATGGGCAGAGGTGGTGACAGTGCTTCCTCGACCAGCTGGTGATCTTTGGAGGAACCTTGCTTAATGTCCTCTTGGAAGCTCCCAGAGGCCCCCTGGCTGCTGACTCAGAAAAGGGGGAGATGAAAGAGGGCAGTTCTCACCTTAAAAGCTCATGGATGCTCTGAAAAGGCCAGTGCTCAGAAAAGCACTTCTGCCATTCTCTGGGAGAGAAAGACATTAATTTACTACCTGTGAAAGGCTTATCACTAATTCAGAACTTACAAGCCATAGACCCTAGATGAAAATTGTAAAAAATTTCCAAGTATATTTGAAAACAAAGTGAAATAATATATTCTTTATGAACCTAAATATAATTTCTAATGAATGCCCTTTAGCATGCCTATTGCTTCAGCAAGAATAAGAGCAGGAAATGCTTTCCAGGTAGTAAGGTGGGAGTATGGGAAGCAGCAGTGTGGATGTGGGAAGGAGAAGAAATAGATAACTGGGATGGGGAAGGGTAAGGATGAGGAACTGGAGCTGTAAATATCCATATTGGAGAATGGCAGGGTATCAGTCGTGGTGTTAATTGTTAAACTTTAGGATTCTATTAAATAACTTGTTTCTTTTCATATTCTTGTGTAGTGTTTTTCTGTCAATCCACTTGCCCTTTATGAAAGGTGCAGCCTGAAAAACTCTTTCTCAATTCATGCTCCTATTTGTCCCAAAGAGGAGCTTGAAATTTGAAGGGTTGTCTCTAATGTCAGTATTTACTGGTAGCTGCATGGAGAATGTGTCCTTATGGACACCAATATAAAATCAAAAGTCATTATGGTGACTGTATTTAATCAAAACTGCTAAAATCAGTGCAGAATCTGCCTCCAGTTTTTCTCTCTTTCTTTTAAGTTGCATCTTTTAGAAAATGTAAAACTAACCTCTTGTTTTTCCTTCAGCCAACTGTTTCTATCTGTGTCTTAATTTCCCTCTTTCTCAATAGATTGTTCTTTCTTCTTTCAATATCTCTGCCTGAAAGAGCCCACCCTCCTCCTATTCTTCTTTGGGGGTCTGTTTACTAAGTTGGTCAGGTAAACCTATTTATTATTGATTATGAAGAATGATATACATCTATAATGTGTGATTTTTTTTTCTTTTTTTTTTTTTTTTCCTGGCCAGGAAACCTAGAATTTCTTAGTTAGCAAATAACTTCTTACCCCCATCACATTCCACCAAAATAAAGAAATGTTCAAAGTTGTTGTGACCATCGAGATTCTTGCAGGTTTTGGAACAATATTGAATTCAAAGTAGAGGGAGCAAATATCTCAATTAGTTTTATGGTGAACCTAAATCAC